GGAGAAAGGAAGGAAGGAGGGAGGGAGGGAAGGGGGAAGGGGGGAAAAGGAAAGGAAAGGAAAGGAAAGGAAAGGAAAGGAAAGGAAAGGAAAGGAAAGGAAAGGAAAGGGAAAAAGTGAGATTTCCTACACAAGATCTGCAGTCTGAAGACTAGGAGCTTCTTCAGGTTGATTCATGTCTTGTTTATTTTGCTAATGTGCTTATTTTGAAATAGTGCTCTGGGATAGCATTTAGGGTTATTCATTATATTTACTTTTTAAAAATAATATGTGAAATCTCCTAAAAACATTTGGCTCTATTTTTGGCTGGCTTAGGATTTCTACTTTAAAACTGAATTACTAACAAGGCATCTGGTAAATGTGAAGGTGGCTATTAAACTTTCGTAGCCTTTGATCTTACTAATTAAGTTTTATAAGACTTTAGAGAAAAAGTTCTATCAGTCATCTTACTTAAACATTATTTTAGGAGATTGATATACCCTGTGTCCTAAAACCAAAATTACCCTACTTTAAAAAAAAAGTAACATTAACACACCCATTCATTTTATAAAATTTAACTCCTAGTTGCCAATAAAATGAGTAGAATCAGTTTAAGAAACAGAAAGTGAAGAGGGAAGAAATGGGGGGAGGGTGAGAAATACTCTCTCAGAAAATATTTTAGAAAACTAGTAACTACTCTGCACCATTCTCTCTGAAAATAAATATGGATCTTTTCTATACGCCTTCTCTTTTATCCTGCTTTAACATCACCACCACCAATCAGCACCTTAGTTAAGTGCACTTTTCAGATTTAGTTTGGAATGGTGGAGGAGCCTGGGTGGTAGCATCGGATAGGCAAGATTTCAAAGCAATAAGCCAACATTTACTATGGACCTTGGTCAAGATTTAACACCTTCAGTCTGTTTTTCCTCCATAAAATCATAAGACTCTTCTCCTACAGTGACCTGAATTTTACATCAATGCTCCATTAAAATGATCTTCATGAAGGTCACCAATACCCTCTTATTTTAAAATCTAATAAATACTTGGCTCTTATTATACTTGATCTCTTTGCAATATTTGACTGTTTACCATTTCATAATTTTTCAAACTGTTTTCTTACTTGGTTTCTGTGATCTATTCTTTTCTGTCATTTTTCTTATTTTCTAGGTATTTATTATTGTTCTCTTTTGCTGACTCTAGTCTCTCTGCTCTTAATTAAATGACCTCTGTGCTCTTCTCCCTCTGAATTGTCTTCCCAATAAACTCCATCCACCGCTGCTCCTTCCCATAGCTTTAGCCACCACCTGTATATCCTAATGATTGCCTGTATGTGCCTCCTTTCCAAACTTCTCAAGCTCTTAGCCCCCAAACTGCTACCTCATTTTGGACTTCACAGAATTGTCCTATTAGTATCATTCAAAACTACTACCACAACAACCAGGACAAAAATCTAGAACTCATCCCAGACTCCTTGCTCTCCCTCATTCTTCTCTCACATCCCCTCTCCCCAGTCTCTAAAGGCTTACTGATTCTTCCTCTAAACTATTTATTTCTTCTTAATAGTTTCTGCCACTGCCTTGGTTCAATTTCTTATGTTTCGATCCATGAAATAGCCTCTACATTATTCAGGGTAGTTGCAATGTTGTAACAACAAATGTGGTGACAAAAATCTCCGTGGTTTAGCACAATAATTTTTTTTCCTTGCTCATGTCACAATCCAGTGCAAGTTGATGGGCAGAATCTGCTCTATTCAGGTAACCAGGCTCCTAGCGTCCAATGGCTGTACCACCTCCTCTACCAGACCCTGTAACTGGCAGGCAGGTGAGAGCAGAGAGAAGGCAGTCTTGTTATGGGCTTAGTCTATGTACAATGGGAGCAGGGAGAGAATAAATGCAGTTAAAACTGCCATTCAGAAAGGGTAAGAATGGCAGACAAGTGGTGCCCACTAGTCCATTGCAATTCTGAAATCCTGCTTGGCAGGTCTTATGAAGCCCCCTACTCTGAGAGAGAGTGAGTTATTTGATTGAACTTTAATTCTGCTCTCTGGGAATAGTTCCCTTGTCCCTTTCCTCCTTGACCCTCTGCTCTTAGGAGTTCTTACTATTTATTCCCCTTGGGCACTGCTGAAATGAGTGTTACCAAAAGTTTGCAAGTTAAAAGGTGATGTTACAGCTCAGTCGGAAGTATTTTTTGGTCTATTTTGGGTTCTTGACAGCACAACTTCTTCAAAAGCTTGGTAGACTTCTCTTTATTTGCTTCCATCTATAATTCTCAGGTCTCTCCTCTCCTTCCCACCCTCCTCCCCATCTCTCTCCGCAACTGCAGCTAAGTTGCTGCAATTAGTTGATTATGGTTTCTTATGGGAAGGCCACACCTTTAATCTGATCTTTGTTGTAGAACTAAACCATGTGCCCAACTAAGAAGTTTTATTGGCCCTTTGTGGCTCCATTTGGAATGTGGAAGCAGCTGGCTTTCCAACCACTTTTCACCCCTATCTTTGGACTCACCCTACTGTTTTCTGTTCATCTTGTATACTGGCCAGTTGTTTCTGAGCATGTCTCTTTTTTGAAACACCTGACCAAAGGAAGCCAATAACAACTGTTACATGACAACATTCTAATTCTTTTAAAACACTTTTCCTAAGGCAGCTGTTCTCAAAGTGTGGTGGGCACAAACCCGAGAAGCCCAAAGACCCGTTTCATTAGTGGATCCACAAGGTCAAAAATCCTATATAATAAAGAGCTAATATGCTAATTAGACCAAACAGCAGAACGACTGTCCAGACGACCTTCCAGACGACCTTCCAGACAAAGCCAGGGCTTCGAGGGCCGAGCCCCTTGCATGAATTTCGTGCATCGGACCTCTAGTACTTTCATAATAATAAGGAGGTTATTTGCCTTTTCTCCTGTGTTAACATTTGCACTGACGCTTCAAAAACAATGGTGGGTAAAACTATTGATGCTTTAGCACAAATTGAGGCATTACTAAACCATGTCATTGTATCATTGGACATTGTATCATATTTGCTGCCAATTACTTACTTAAAACAACAAGAAAAACCAATTTAGCTTGAAAATGCCCTTGACAAAAAAGTAAAATTATTTCCTTTGTTAAATCTTAACCCTAGAGGACAGGTCTTCTACATATTCTGTGGGACCCAAAGGAAAGATCACAGAACAGTTCTGCTGCCAACCACAATATGATGGTTGTCTGGAGGAAGAGCGATATGCGATTGAGTTGCAAACCGAACTCATCTATCTTTTATGGAACATCATTCTTACTTGAGAGAACAAGTGATAAACAAAATCTGGTTTCCAGACTTGGCTATTTGTCAGTCATTTCTTGGAAAATAAATGAGTGAGCCTCTCACTTGAAGGCGAACAGCCTGAGAGTATTTTTTGCCAACGAGAAGACGTGAGCTTTCAAATGAAAATTCGAATTTTGGAAAATTTGCATCCACCACCACCAGCTTGATAGTTTCTGAATTCTGAAAAGCTCAATGGTAATGTTAACAAATGTGATTTTTAAACAAATATTAGATGATGAAGCGTGTCAATGATATAACTCAATGAAACAATATCTTCAAAGTAACCACTATAAGATATTACAAAATCATGCATATATTAAAGATCCCTTTAAAGTGCAAGTAAGCCAATGGATTTTTATGAATTTCAAGTTCATTGATATGGTTTCAGATTCACACTGCAATCAACTTTTTAAAAAGTTATCATGGTAGTTATTATGTAGTATCAAGTAAATCCACAACTATCTGAAAGGCTATTAAAATACTTCTTCAAAAGAAGAAAATTGTTCTTCTAACATGAAATACCTACACATCTGTGTGAGGCCAGCTTTTCTTCAGATACATTCACTAAAATAATGTCTCACAACAGAATGAATGAAGAAGCAAATTTGAATCTATATGTCTTCCATGAAGCTAGAAATCATAGAGTTTTTCAAAAATGTAAAACAATACCATTCTTTTTACTCATTTTTTGAAAATATAATTATAAAATATGTTATTTACATTAGCATAATGGATTTATAATTATTTTCAGTTCATTAATATTTTTAACTTCTCAGTTTTAATTTCAATATGGTCATTCTTACTTGATATAACATGTAAACAAAAGCTTTCGGTGATCTTTAAAAGGGTAAAGGAGCCTTGAGAAGAAGTTTTAAGAATCAGTCTCCTGGAGAAGGGATCAGCTCTATGGCCCACAGGTAATATCCAGCTGCTTGCCTGTTTTGTAAATGAAGTTTTATTGAAACACAGACACATCTATTTACTTACATATGGTCATGGTTGCTTTCATGCTATCCCAGCAGAATTGAATATTTGTAAAAGAGGTGGTGTTGCTCCCAAAGCTCGAAATATTTACTATTTGGCCCTTTACAGAAAAAGTTTGCTGACCTCTGACCTAGAGCTTTAGTTGTCAAGCCTGGCTGCACCTTAAAATGATCTGGAAACTATTAAAATAATACTAATGCCACCACCACCACTGCCCTCCCCCAACACACACATACAGAGCAGTTAAGTCCAAATCTCTGGGAGTGAGTCTAATATGTAGCCAGGATTAAGAATCACTGTCCTAAAGTTATAAGGATCGGAAGCATGAATCCTGCCTTCCAAAGTTATTCCAGACAACAGCTTACCTACGGTTTATCCCCTTCACAACATGGGTGACTCTATGTCAAGCCCCTAATGTTAGGGTCCTCACCGCCCACTGGCCAAACACTCTCAATGCCTTATTTGTTGTTGCTACAGCAGCACCCTACTGGGAGGTGCAAATTTCAATGTTAGGCAGGTAGGCTATCTCCTCTGGGAAACACTTCTCAAATTTCAGAGGCTAACACAAAGTTTTATTTCTTATGCAAATCATGGTGCAGGGTGCTTTGCTAAGGGTTTCTGCTCCACAAAGGAACCCAGCAGCTTCTAGCTGGAGCCTCTACCCTCCCCCTGGCCTTGGAGTGCACTGCTGGTCCCTCCAGGTCCAGCCAGCAGGGGAGAGAAAGCCTGGAGGAGGAAGGGGCCAGGCCTGGTGAAGGCAGACAGCACTCCCATTGGCCAGAACTTAGTCCCATTGATCGCAACTAAGTATAAAGAAGGTGCAAAACATAGCCTATCTTTCTGGCAAAAAAGGAAAAGCAAAAACGGTTTAGTGAACGAGCTTTATCCTCCCTGTCACAATCACCTTACTAGTCTCTTACACTGAGTACTGGGAAGTCACTTCATGCCCCCTGTGGTAGACGGAATAAGGGCCTCCTATTCCCCAGAACCTGGGATTGTTTATTTTCCGTGGCTAAAGGGATTTTGCAGGTGTGATTAAGCTTAAGAACCCTGACAAGGGAGACTATATTTCTAGACTGTCGGCAAAGAGAGATGTGAAGATGGAGGAAGGGTCCAAGACAGTGTGGCTGCAGGAAGCAGGAGGAAGGGGCCATGAGCCAAGAATGCAGGCAGCCTCTGGAAGCTGCAAGGCCAAGGAAATGGATCATCCTCAGCCTCCACACAGGAAGACAGCCCTGCCAACGCCTCGATTTTAACCCAGTGACACCCACATTGGACTTGTGCCCCAAAGAACTGGGGGACAATAAATCTGTGTAGTTTTAAGCCACTAGGTTTGTGGTAATTTGTTTCAGCAGCAATAGAAAATAAACACACCCTGCCTTCCGTGTTCACACTGCTGTTGGTAATGTTCCCAAAATTTAAATCTTAATTGGATGCTCCTTTTCTCAAAAAATTGTAGTGGCTCCTCATTCATTTACTTATTTAATACACATTAAGCACCTATAATAGCAGGCGCTCTCCCAGTCGCCAGGATTGCTGTGCTGAGTGAAGCAGACATGGTTGCTGCCGCATTGACGCTTTGGGTATCCTGACTACAGGACCATCTAAACTCTTTAGCGTGCCATTCCAACCCGCGTGTCAAAGGTGACACGCGAACTCATTTTTTTGGTTGATTTTTTTTTTGTTAAATGGCATTTAAATATATAAAATAAACATCAAAAATATAAATCTTTGTTTTACTACGGTTGCAAATATAAAAAAATTTCTATATGTGACACGGCACCAGAGTTAAGTTAGGGTTTTTCAAAATGCTGACACGCCGAGCTCAAAAGGTTCGCCATCACTGATCTAATTTAGCGTGCCATTCCAACCCTGTTCCTTGTCCACCTGGGAAACTCCTCCTTCTCCCTTAACAGTTAGGTCAGTCATATCACTCCACAACATAGGGTCACTCCTTCCAGACTCCCTTTTCTATTTCTGATTAGAAAGTTTATGCATCCGAGTTGGTACTTATTTCACTGAATTGCAACTGCCCCTTCCTCCGCCCTTATTATGGTTTTTACCAGATCCAGAGAGAAGCTCCTAGTGAATGTACTTTTAAATAAAGCCTGACCCTTCATTCATTCATTCATTCTCTCAAAATAAGTTCATCAAAATGCATACTTCATCAGAACTTAATTTGGCAGGATTATCGACAGTACCAATCCCTCAAATCAGAAAAACAGCGGATCTGAACTTCTTTGGCAATACCTTTCCCAGCATGGGTCTCCTATCCATTTCAAAGAGCATTCTTCTTGGAGAAACAGGATGGGGAGAGAAACTGAGAATCCCACATGCTGACGATCAGACTGAATATGGTTACTGCAAAACTGGGACTCTGCATGTTCCTCTTTTAGTATATTTCTGCAATTTACTAAATAGTGGTGAAGATATATAGTTTCTGTGATTTAATACATAACTACAACAAATAATTCCTCAGTGGATTAAGTTTATAGGAACTATTTCATTTGGAAGGATTCATTCCATCTGCCTATAAGACCTGGAGGGGGGAAAAAATCAGTCCTTTTATAAACATTTTGAGTGTAGAAACTTAAACTTATTTTGTGACACTGTTTAGTTGTAATGTCCTGTTAAGTGTTTCCTAGAAAATTAGAGGCACGGGTCTGTTTTATGCACTGACATGTTTTTCTAGTGCGGTCCAGCACTCCATGCAAGACTCACACTCCATTAAACTGAGTGGACAAGAATCTCCCTCATCAATTATTAAATTTACCTGCATCTGGATATTTCGTGTTCAGCACGGTGAATATCAATATATTTTATTCAGTGTCTGTAATATACAAATTGTGATCTGATAAATAATTTATTATTTAAAGAAACTATTTTGATAATTCTTACTGTCACCATTGCAGAGCCATTCTGCAGAGCCAAGTTTTAATACATTTTTAACCATTTCTTGAACAACCACTATTTTGCACCTACTATGTGTAAGGGAAAGGGAGAGATAAGAAAAGAAACACCTGTAGAATAATTACCAGTTAGTAGGTAGAGTAAAATTTATTCTGATTATAGGCACGTAACTTTCAATATACAAATCCAAGCTGTCAATACATGAAGTTTCCCTGAACATTTTCATGTATCATTCCTTAAGAACTCTCACCCCACATCTAGCAGACATTGGACTCCTGCTAGCCCTGTGGATTAGTTGTTCTGCCCACTAAGTATTAACAGCAATTAACTATGGTCCGCCTCCTCACCTCCCTACACATGCTCAGCTTTCCAGTGGGCATTGATTCTGCACCAGGGAGCCTAACCTGCTAACCACAGTGGCACACAGTAACCAGGGAATTATCCCCCAGGAGAGCAGTTCTTTCTACTGAGTCAATAAGCATTAAGACTACAAATGCATTGTTAGGTTTAACAAATCACAATGGCCAAAGGCACCCATTTCTCTGAGCACAGAAATTACAATGCTGAAGTCACCATTATCCAGCAATTAGGTTTACCGCTGTAGTCACCCTTTCAACATTTAAGCCTACAAAAATGCGCCCCCACTTCTTTCTGCTGAACCGAACCTGGAAAGTTCCTAAAGCTTTCATTTTTATGCAGGTTTCCGAAACCAAGGAAGCAATTGCACCTGAACGATGGAATAATGACAAACCTTATGAAGCAGAAAGAACAATAATTTATCCACTTAACAGAAGCCTAATTTTCTTTTTAAAATAGAGTATTGCCAAGCTCAGTTTCCAAATGGACTATGCTCTGAGCCACCAGAAGAACATTCGGCTGCCAGAAGAATGTCTAGTTTAGTAAATAATGAACATGAATAATTAATGTTTTAGGAATGCTTTCAGCTACAAGTCACAAACAGCCTAACTAGAGTAGCTTTTTTTTTTTTTTAATGGGGGAGTGTTCTTCCCCATAGTGAGAAACCCAGGGTTCAGAGTTTTGAAATTGGTTCAGCTGCTAAATCATGCCAAAGACTGATATTTCCTTAACTTTTTCCTGATAATTACAAAAAGGCTGTGCAGCTTCTACAATTATATCCTCTTTCCACCGGGAAGAAGAAGGATGAGAGCAACAAGGTGTGGTACCAATATCTGAAAGTAAATGACTTAGCAGGAAGCTCCCAGAAAATGCTTGCTTGTGTCTCTTTGGCCAAAATTTTGTCCCCAAGTCCCTGTGGGCCTAGAGGTGGCAAGAGAGAAGGGGGATGGGAAAGAAAACAAACAAACAAAAAAAAGCAGCTTCTGACAACTAGAAACTGTCCTAACTGCTCCTTCCCATTATAGCTTTAGCCTCACTTTAGTTTTTCTACCTTATACATAATATTTTTAAAATATTCAATCATATAATTATCTCCATTTCCTGATAGCAGCCATCCAGAGCAACGCCACTTCATCTTAAACCTTCTCCCCAATCACCTGAACTTGATCTTATAAGAATTGTTCAGGCACCCTCTACTGAAATGTCCCCCATCGCCCAGGGTGTGTGGTCTCCTCTTTGCAACCAGTAATAAACCCAACTAGCTTGTTACGGCTGTGCTCCTGGTGGTCTCTGGCTGGAAAGCACTGACAGAGAAAACTGGGTCAACGGGAGTACTTGCCACACCTTTGTTTTGTTCTGGTAAATTTTTTAAAAATATATATTTTATTGATTTTTTTTTACAGAGAGAAAGGGAGAGGGATAGAGAGTTAGAAACATCGATGAGAGAGAAACATCGATCAGCTGCCTCCTGCACACCCCCTACTGGGGATGTGCCCGCAACCAAGGTACATGCCCTTGACTGGAATCAAACCCAGGACCCTTCAGTCCGCAGACCGACGCTTTATCCAGTGAGCCAAACTGGTCAGGGCGTTCTAGTCAATTTTTAATTAAAATGACGTGCCTTAATATGCCATGCTTCAAAATACTTAACTAGAAGAGAAGCCAGGATATAGTGAACAGCACATATGATGAATAACCAGGGGGAAGGGCTCTGTGTGACTAATTAAGTGACCTCGGGTAAGTCATTAAAGGACAGGAAAGGAACTGACTCCACAATAGCCTGGTGAACCAGTTAATGTTAACCGCTTATGAGAGATGGCAAAACTAAAGTTCCAAGAGATTGAGTACATTTTCCTATTTACATGTGATAAGTGTCAGAACCAGAATTTGAATCCAGGTTCTAACTCTCAAGTCTAAAGGTTTTCCATGACCCCGAGCTGTCTCATCAAGTTTTAACATCTTCCTCTGTGAACTGACTAGCTGTTGGACTAGGACTTCAAAGGCCTTTCTGTTCACCATTCTAGGACTCTGGTCATGAATTATATAATATTTATATTTATTCTTTTTAACCTTACCTGACCTCTAGATGAAAAGTCCAGGACTAGTGAGAGGTATTTTGTGTTTATGGAGTTCTGCATTTGAGCAAGCCATTTTCTAAATAGCATAAATCATGAATTTGATTTGCCATTTGGATCTTCCTCCAAGTCAAATCAACTTTCAGTTCCTTTAAGGAATGGTAGTTTGTTATGGCAGCCTAAACTGACTAAGATGGATATAAACGCATTTTTTAAGACTCAAATATATCCAGTAATTATCTCTGACTGATGGGGTTATGGATGGTTTTCTTTTTTTTCTTATTATTTATCTACATTTTTCAATTTCCTATCAGGAAAATTATAATTTTATAATAATTCTAAAAATGTATTAAGTAAATTTTTGACAAAATACAAGTACAGTTCAATTAGTTAAAATATACTGTTCTATATTTCAGATGCTTAATTTACTTACCAAAAAAAAAAGAAAAAAAACACCTAGACAGCACATAAGCCCTCTTTGTGCCATGAACTAGCAGATGACAATCTAAGGGCCATCACATTTCTGAGAACCATGAATATCCTTATCCTAAGAGGTTTATTTTTCACATAATTATTTTAATTTTCTTCTCTGCTTTCGAATTTGCAAATCTAGGTTAAAAGGAATACTTTATGTGGAAACTTAATCTCAAATTTTTAAAAAGCAAAATTATTAAAATAAGTGTTATTTATCTTGTACAATTTTCCATTGTGCTATTATCCACATGGACTTTTGAGAGTTATGAAAACAATTTATTTACTTAGCATATTTGCTTTAACATATTGCATTTCTATTTCATTTTTAAGCCAATGCAGTTACAAACCAACAATTGTGCCATGATATTTGGAGAGAAATGGTATCACAGGAGGTGGAGACTATTTTCAGTTCTTCTTTTTCCTTTGGGTATTTTCTTTTAAGAAACAGAAATAATTGTTTTAAATCATTAGAAAAACAAGTGCCTTAATTAACTGCTACATTAATGGTATAAACTTTAACCCTACTGAAATGAGTATTGAAGAATTAATTTGTCCACATGAAAAATGTTACAATAGCTACCTTGTATTGGCTACCTGATATTATTTAGGTCAATAAACACTATCTTACTTAATCCTTACAGCCACGCTGTAAAGCAGATTGGGGATAAATGATTATCCCCATTGTTCAGATGAAAAAATTGAGACTCAGTTTTAACAGTTTGGATAATTTGAAAGTTTAAATAATTTGAGCAAAACCACACAGTGAAAAAGAGAAGAACCAGGATTTGAACACAGGCTTCTCTGACTTGGGGTCTTATATTCTCTTCACTATGTACACTGAACTGGTACCTTTGGGCTTAGATTCTATGATGAGACTATTTTTCTCATTTGTTGGATATTGAGCACCTTACAAAACATATCTCCTCACACCCATAGGGTGGACTATTATGAAGCCATTCAAACTCATGACTCTGAAAAAACTTTAATGACTTGGGAAATACCCACAATATAAAGTTTTACATATGTCCTATGAGTTTGAATATGTAATTGGTATCATCTTCTTCCCCAGCTTGGGATACAACAACATGATTCTGCAGTAAAACTTCAAAGTACAGCTCCAAATCTCCCAGCCTATTTTTGAATTCTTTTCTCAGTCTGTGTGATTATTCCCATGGTACTCTCATCTTGCTCCTAGATCCAAAACAAAACTTTAGCCCAGAAAAAGGAGTTCTTAACTATGGGAGAGGCTACCCTATGTCAAATCTGGCTTCAACTCCCAAAGTAGCAACTCTCAGGATTCACTCACACGCTCATTACCATAGCAAAATGATGAGGTTCCCAAAGGCTCTGAGTCAAACTTCCCTGGACACATTTTCTTATCCACTAGTTTAACTTAGACACAGTCATACCTTCTTGATGTATTCCTTATCAGCATTTCTATGCACTTTATTAACATCTGAACTTTGTCAGCATCACCCTAGTTCAGTGGTCGGCAAACTCAATAGTCAACAGAGCCAAATATCAACAGTACAATGATTGAAATTTCTTTTGAAAGCCAAATTTTTTAAACTTAAACTATATAGGTAGGTACATTGTTATTAACTTAATTAGGGTACTCCTAAGGCTTAGGAAGAGCCACACTCAAGGGACCAAAGAGCCGCATGTGGCTCGCGAGCCACAGTTTGCCGACCACGGCCGTAGTCTATCCTACAAATTTAAATAACCTTTCAACTAAAAAGGAAAAGTATCTTAAGGCAGTTTCCTTCCTGGGAAGTCCTGCTGTTTCTATGTGATACATGTAAAAAGACTGCTCAACTTTCCTCTGGCAGGATGGAAGCTCTGTGCACCAAGAGATGTGTCAGATGTGTCATTTGACTGTCTCTGTCTTGGATGCCTGAATGTAGGGCACTTGTATAAAAATGTTACAAAGTTGTATATATTTACAAATGTGCATAGGAAAATAGACTAAGATGAAATAATTACACTTCAGTAGTAGTCAGAACCACAAAGGCTGTAGTACACTGCACACTCTGAGATGAATTGGTCACATGGGCTCCACCTCCACCAAGAAGAGCGCCCTGCTGTTGTCTCACTCAGTGACTCTGATGGTGGTTATGAAACCCTCAGTGGGATGAACAATAGTGGGTGGGGTTTATTTGCTTAGAGAGATAGATGCCACAATAATGATTCCGTCTACGTTTTGCTTTTCTATTCCCTTATGAAAAAAATACCAGAGTCACCCATGGAGGATGAATCACATGGAGGAAGTCAATGTGTAGCCTAAGAAGGAAAGACCTCTGAGGGCTAAATGGACTTCCCAGGGCTGAAAGGACAATATAGTTGTAGGCCATAGGCAGCAAACCAACTGTATCCCGGACTTTTGGGGGATTAGAATCCTCCCAAAATAAAATTGATACAGGTGGAGTCAAGTTGTAGGGCACTAAGAACTGTGAATTTTGGACTCCAAGGAGAGGCAACTTGGATTGAAATTAACACTCAAATACACTGTGGGCCATGTCAGGAGCAAGAGCAGCAAAAGCAAGACTCCCCTGCAGTGTCAAAGGGTGGGGGCTATCCAAAGAGAGACCATCAGTTTTACTAGTTTGAATTATTAATATGACAAATAATAGTAATTAGATACCTATTAACTCATATATGTTACTTTAGAAATTAAAGACTATACTATTGGTTTTTAAAAAAAGAAACACATCAATACTTTCAGGCCACAAAGACACCATATAGAAAATATTACTTCAATGTGCTAGAGAGATGAGATGCTAATAGAACATACAGAGAAAAGATAGCATTTCTGATGATTTCTTCCTGAGAACATTAATAATAATAACAACAACCTTCCTCCTCTTCTTTTGGATCTCTTTGGAGATACCTCTCATTTATATTTGTGCCACAGAGAAATTCTATTTTATTTAATTAATAAAATAATGCTCTTATCAACTTTATTCTATATCCTCTTTTCTAGTTGGTCATGCCAGAATCCAGGTAAGTTCTCAATATGTAATAAATTTCTCTTTACTTTTGCTCCCTGTAGAGACGCTATATTTTATTTCACTCAAAATATTTACTGCCAAAGATTCTTATTACTCTTCTGTGAAATAATTAATGGGAAAATTAAACACATACATACATGCAGAGTTTGCATTTAGACCATGTTTCAAATAATACATCCAATTTTACTTGGACTCCCTTAAAGCCATCCTAAGGTTTATTTTAACTTCTTTTATACAAAAGACATTAATTGCTCCAGAGAAAGAAAACATAGTATGATTAAAGAAAAATCTTATTTCTGG